TGTTAGGTAGATTCACTTTGTTGTATGTATATACGCTGTGGCTATATTCCTCGGTAGCCGAGAAGGGTCATATAAAAATCTAAATGCCCAGCAGTCAGAAAATTTTATAGTATTACTGCAAAATTCTTTTTTCTAATTGCTTGACAGTAGTATTCTATCTCAATTTAGAATAACCAAGCGATCAGGGAAACAAAACTGGCTTTGCAGCTGAGCGTTTGTGATTTGTTGGGCAGTCGACGCTATTTCGAAATTTTCAAAAACAATTCTTGAGTAGGAGCGCGTGACTCACGGGCACGATTTCACACAAGCTAGATGCCCGGTAGTCTTAAAACCCATCGTCTTCCCCAAATCATTTTGATGTATTTTGCCCATGTAACTTTAAAAAATCATATCTCTGGTCTTATTTACAGGTCAATATCAAGCTATACCTCATTGGAAAAGGAAAAGAATACCTTTTCGAAAAAAAATATTTCGGTCGTAGGAAACCCATAATATTCCGCCACAAAAAAAATTTAAAAAGCATATGTTGCATAAAATTTTTTAAAATTTTAAAGAATGTCATTCAGTTAGGAAACTTCTTTATTTTGGGTGATATGGTAGTAAGAAATTTTTTTCATCAATATCTAAGGGAAAACAAACTAAAATCGTTCTAAAACATCGAGCGACTAGAAATTTTATACAAATTTTTTTCTGCACGCTCTCATGATTATGCTAATTAGATTATCATAATTAGCATAATTCTTTGGCGTCACCTCGTGACTACATGTTTACTTCACTTAGACGCTTTGTTTCCTTTGCCTGCGTGCAGACGTCTCCTATTTCCTTTGTTGCATGCGGAAAAAGGGACGTCTGCCTAACGCCGTCGCTAATCGTGCTCCAGCGTCCCGCTGGGTTCCCAAGATCTTGGGAACGTGCTGTGATAGGCTGACACACAGTGCGCATTGTTTGACTTAACGCTGATTGGTTGTTATCGAATCTGGTCCGATAATGTATGCGGTGATTTATGTAATCGGGGTCCAGCCAAAACAAATCAAAACATGTGCCATTGTGTGCAGACCGTTCGAAATCTTGTGCGAGGCTGCGGAAAATTTAACGTGTGCGAGGAAATTATTTCTTTACAATTTACTGTGCATGACACATCACATCATATTTGTAAACAGTGTCTGAGAAAACTACAAAAGCGGCGTGGACTTCGCACCAGGCAGGCATTTCGGAGAAAGCCAGCCAAAGAAACTAAAATCTTTATTTAGCCGTAACAAACAGAGGTCAAAGAAAAATTTAAACACTTTACAACTGCATCTGAAATTAAATCCTACCAGGAACACTCGACTCACAGAAACATAAACCACAGGAAATGACTACTCAGTATGTACGTAACAAACCTGCTAACCTCTAAATGAAAGACTTAGTGCGGCAGAAACGAGATTTACTCAGTCAAAGTTCAGGATGCTACATCCACTGTGTAGTGCCAGTAACCTTCGCGCGAGAGAGAAAAGAAGAAAAACCTCTGTTCAAGTAGCCAGCAGACTCTCCAGGTAACGTTTCGCATTATCACGAGCCTATGATGTTGTGTTTGGCCTGTCAACTCTAACCGGATATTATTTCACAATTTATGCGATATAGAATACCCTGCCAGCGGGAAGCTGGAACACGATTAACCACGGCGTTACGCAGACGTCCCTTTTCCGCGTGCAACAAAGGAAATAGGAGACGTCTGCACGCAGGCAATGTTTCCTCGATTCCCAAAGAAATATCGAGTTAGAGACAAGCAGACATGAATTTGCTGATAGAATTCATCAAAATAAGCAAGAATTTGACGGCGAAAAGCGAAGCGAAGGCAAAACGGGAAGGAAATCGTCGCCGTTTCAAGAACATGTGGCACGGAGTTCGGCGATCGGCGATTTGCATGCACAGATTCTAAGTGTTTCAATTTTCGCGTTTATTTTGCTTGTTATCCTCCAAAATCCTTAAGAATAGTTTGCTTGACTTGTATTTGGTTGACATTCGTCGATACAAGCTTGCATTCTTCGCAAAACCGGCTCACAAAAATTCTCCGCGACTCGCCATAAAATTCAAAATTTTCGAAAGCTCCGTGTGTCACGGTCAAAAGTTCACAGGGGCTGGAACTAGGCAGGTGATTGGCTAAATCTATTAACTTCCTTTGTGCCAAATTTGGGAGCAATCGGAAGTAACGCGATTTTTTGCGAATCTTTTTCCGGTTTAGGTCTTGGGAGACCTATTTTGCCAGGGGCGGAAGACGTAAAAAACTTTTTCTTCAGCTCTAGAATACATGCATACTAGCCTCGATCAGTTTCCTAAAAAAAACGGAGAGAGAGTGCTTTGATTTTGAAACTAAATATTTCGTAACCTCGACCCACCTTCATCTAGACTTTCGATAGACTGGTGGTGCTGCTGAATCTTAGGAAAAGTTTCCTCTGATTATGTAAAATTTACGCGAATTCTCCTCAAAATATTCTATCCTGGTTTAGAATTGGTGGGTGACGAGAAACAGATTTTATGATAGCCCCTCTAACAGAAGCTTTATGATTATCCAAGCGAGACGAACGCAGCATTTTTGCACGAAGCGTCTCGCTTCGCTTATAAAGCGCCTGCCATGCAGGATAGTTGTACGATAGTCCTTTTTACATAGACCACGTGACCATGGTGTTTGCTGATTGATGAGTATTTATAACTGAAAACGATTATCCCATTTTGTATCGTATTTACTATCCGAAAAGAAAATATCTCCTTAAATAGCGCATGGGCTACAATCTTGGGTTTGAACGTCTTGGCTCACCTACACCCAAACTGCATACAAGTATGGCCAACTGGTCGGGTGTTGTATACTTTCATTGTATGCAAATGATTATTGTGATGAGCATACTGTTTATTTTCGGCGATGATTGAAATATCAAAATGATTTTCGTTTACTTATCAATTCAGAAACAAATTGTGAATACGATATAAAAAGTAAATATCATGAAGAATGCTTGACCGTCGATAAAGTAGGAAATGAAAAACTTTTAAGGAGGAAATCCTGTTTCGTGTAGAATTGATTGCCTCCTAGCTATAGACTGCGAGTAGTCTCTTGTTTTTCTTTTAAGTCACAGTAGATCGAGAGCATAATTTTACTTTCTCGCTCGCCGTGCGTGGCTCTGAGGAAAGGACGTTGACCGCTCGCGGAGACTCAACGCTACAAAGAGCGTTCTTGTTTTCGAATTATTCTCTTTTGCGGAATCCGTTCTCCCACTCTTTCTAAAAAATAATAAGAAGTAGTTACTACCTTAAAATTGACTGTTATTATTAATATTATTATTTCGACGTCTTCACCTTTGATTGTAGGGTACCATTCAATATGTTTTTGATGTGAACCAAGTAAGTTGAATAAATCTCAATTAAGTGTTATGGAATAATTTAAAATTGCGGCAGTACAAATGTTAGTAGTGCACACACCACAAAGTTTGGACGGAAGGCTAAAAAGGAGAAAAATATCTGCATTATCAAAAATATCAAAATGCGTGTAGATAAGGCCATAAAGCAAATTCAATTTAATGTAATTTTAGATTTTAATAATTTAATTCGTACTTGCCGAATTTTTGAAAACGAACCTGACGAAATTTGCTTCAATAAATTTGTCACCTCTGCATGCATCGAATCAAGAAAACATCATGGTTAAAGTTTTAGCTTGAACAATGCCACTGATTAAAAAGAATAACTTTCAGTTATCGGACCTTTCTTTTTCATAAATCCATCCAAGCAAACTTGAGTGGTTCCCCCTCTACCGTGATCCTTCCAAAGTTTCAGTGATCTCCCCTTTTGGGTTACGACTGATCCCCCCTTTTGTTCTCCTAAAAATCAAGTGATCCCCCCCAATTGCTCCTTCCCCCTCCCAGGCGATAAACAATGACCGGTCCCTAGGAACCAATGAGATTATATTTTGGCATCTAAACATGGCATTTCTAAAAAGGGCAGATTCTTGGTACACGGCTACACTGAAGGTGATTCATCTACGATCTCACTGGCAATAGCCTTCTGCTATCGACGATCACCTCGTTCACGTTAGCTCAACTTCAGACTGCTTTTTTCTTATCGGCATTATATGTGCGACTTCTTCGCATGAAGATCGTTGGTTCACCGCTCGCGTGCATGTGTAACGCGTCCCACACCAGTAACTTGGAAAAAGAAAACTAAATATAACACTCTCGCAGTCTATTAACTAATTAAAATTCCTGTAGCTACAATTAAGAACAAAGTAGACGAAAAATTCCAAGCCCCTTCTTCACCCCGAATCAGCACTGACTTAAGGATGGGAAAATTTCACCTTTTGGCGTTCGCACCGCTCTCGATTCATCCTTGTTGATTTGTTGGCTTGATCTTGCGGTGTGGGGTGGGTGGAGAGTAGATAAAAAATTATTTAAGAAATTGTATTATTGATAAGAATTGTCCTATTAAATACCTTTTTCTTTTAAATATATGTAAGACGCCCCACAAGTGGACTTCTTTGCCAGTACTGTTCATGGTGACAGTTCGCTTTCAGAAAATCCACAACGTTTTTACAACGATATTCTGGTGCCCAAAGAGCCATCTGTGTATGGGCAAGCTCCCACTACTACTATCCGTATGAAATGAACTGGTTTGTCAACTCAACGTATCTGGAGATGCCTATCTGCACTTACGAAAAACCCAGCCCGAATAAAACTTGTATTCTGAATTTGGGTAAAGTACACCCAGATGACCGTCGGAGTTATTTCTGCCAGGCAGTTAACTGAGGGGGATGCACTTATAAGGAACTGAATGTTATTGTCACTGGTGGTTACAGTACTACCACTGGTTCAAGTAAGTAACGAAAACGAAATTCAGAGCCAAATCTTTCAATCTTTCAATCTTTCTTTATGTCACACTATATAAGGCATTTACACAAGTGTACGTAAGTAGGAGAACGATGTAGCAGTAAATATATGGAACTGACAATAATTTGTATGCAATTTTAAGCGATTTGACTTCCCTGGTTTCACAGCAAAAAATGCTGGTGGCCCTGTGGTTTTCAATGAACAAAAACAAAAAAAAAAATAAAATAAAAAAAAATAAATAAATAATAGAAAATACCACGGAGACTACAGAGACCTCAATATCGTACTTGGATGGGCATGTGAATGTCACTTGAATAGGTTATTTAAATAGTGGAAGGGTTTGATGTCCAAATTTCACTACTCAGGTGTGAACACGTAAATACACGGTGAAACAAATACATAGCATGAGTCGATTAAAAAAACAAACAATGCTGTGATATAATTGCACCGTATATGTAGCCCCCATACATGTTATTAAGATTCAAATTATCAACAGGGGTTATAACCTGTTACACATAGTTTCAAAAGTTACAGTGGAATAAAAGAATTAAACGGGTTAGTAGTCGTTACATAAGGGTTATCAGTAAAATACAACTAGTGGTCTATTATCAATGCTGCGTTCTGATTGGCTGAGCTACTGCTAGGCTATATGTTATAGCCCACTAGTAGCGAAAAGCGCTGGCTTTAAATAACCTCATCTGTGGTTTACAGTGACAGATGTGAGTTTTACTGTGGGCACTAAGGAAAGTTTTTGTGGTTTGTGACAACCCTATGACATATTTTTTTCTTTCCATCATTTGGTTTAGAACAAACCTCCAACACACCACATTACGAAACGACCCTAATGCCAGCAACATGTGAGGCCCCAGCAACACATGTGGTCCCACCAACTTCTGTGCAGGACCAAGCAACAAAAGTTTCCTCAGTAACACCCATAGTGCACGAAACACGTGTTGATGTTGATGATGACGATGATGATGATGATGATGATACCTCTACAGAAAGTGTTAAAACTGTATTAGCGGTGTACAACCTCTTAGTGGGGACACAAAAATAAGTTAAAAAAGAATAAATCAATTAATTAGTTAATTAAAAATAAAAAAAAAAGAATATAAGAATTAAGAAATTAAGAAAAACTATGTACAGTATAAGCAAATAAGAAATTCGAGAGAACTATATACAGTACTGTATGTACAAATGTATCCATTATCTTACAAAAAAATAAGAAATAAAAAATTAAGAAATGCAAAGAGAGCAGTTAGAGCAGTTATTGTCATCTAATAGCATGCTAAGATCCACTTTTCCGATGTTATACTTGAAGGAGGACAACGTGGAAGCTTTTTTCACGTTACTAGGAACAGAGCTCCATACCTTTGGGCTCATATACCTCAGCGAGTGCTTTCCAAAGGAGAATGTGTTGAATCTGGGTATAGTGAAGTTATGATTGCGAAGTTTATACTTAATTGCAGGCTGTTCAAAGAGAGTTCTAATGTATGTTGAGCACATGTTGTTTTTAACTTTATACATGAGAATAGCTATGTCCTGTAGTCGCCGGTTGTGTAGAGCTAGATATATAGCCCGGCCATAGATAGTAATTGACCATAGGACGAATGTTTATCACAATATATAGCCCTAAGTGCTCTCTCCTGGATACGCTCTAGTCATCTAGAATCACTAGCACTGCAAAAATGCCATATAAGATGACAGTAGGTTAAATACAGGAGAACAGCTGCCTTATATAACTGTAACTTAGTTTGTGTGGGTATAAGGTTCCTAAGCCTCATGAGAACGCCTACCAGCTGGGCGCTCTTCTTAGAAATACTACTTATATGTACATCAAAACGAAGATTGTTATCAATACAGACACCTAATAGCTTGAGACATTCAGTGGATCTGACTTCATGATTGTCAATCATAATACTGTCCATAGACTCCCTTCCGCAACCAAGTGCCATTGTCTGGTACCTGTCCCAATTTCCCTTTAGTAAATTAGCTATTTACCATGAAGATGCTGACTCAGCACAACATGCACATCAGAGAGGGTGCTGCCAACGGCATAAAACTGGTGGTCATCTGCATACATATTCATGTTCGCATCAATAGTATAAGTCAAATCGTTTTGGAAGATGTTCCAGATAAGAGGTCCAAATGCGGAACCCTGTGGGCATCCCCTGGTCACCCTCTGCCACTTACTCACTACAGATCCTGGCTTGACCCTGTTATAACGGTCTGTGAAGTAGGAGCCCATCAATCGCAGACTTCTTTCCTCAACACCATAAGCTTTAAGTTTTGCAAGTGTAAGTGGATGGTAAAGTGAATCGAAGGCTTTGCTCATGTCCGTGGAGAGAACACCCTCAACATTATGCTCATCCAGAGCGAATTTCCAATTCTCAGTCAAAGACAAGAGAGCTGTGTCACAGCTATTGTTTTTCCTGTAAGCTGTTAGCTTATCGCACAGTTTGCATGATATTAAAACCATAACTGAGTTGCTTGCTGAGTAATTGTTGAAAGAGTTTGTTTACAGTAACTTGTACAGTTATGGGTCTGTAGTTTCCCTTTTTCATGGGGATCTTCCTTCTTAAAAAAAGGGTGTCCATTCACCCCTTTTCCATCCCAAGGGCCACTCTCCGAGGGTTATACATGAATTAAATAGTGACGTCAATGGATTTGTTAGCTCAGTAGCTCCAAGCTTGAGCGCCACGGGAGGGATGCCGTCGCAGCCTGTACTCTTCCTTACGTTCGGGTTTTGCAGCGCCTTTTCAACTTCAAAACTCTGAAGATTCTGAAACTGGAAGCCTTGATATCCTGTCATCTTCTGCGTAATATTCTGGACACTAGGGTTGGTCGGTGGCGAGAACTTTGTCATCAACCGCACTGGTGTCTCCAATCCCATCAGCCACAGTAGCAAAATATTCAGACAAGTGATTAGAAACCGCACATTGATCTCTACAGATGGTCCCATTAATTGATACTTAGGCTGAGCTCATTTGTGTTAACCTTGTGCTTATCAGTGAGAAAGGGCATAAATGTCTTATAGAACTCACTCGGTTTGCACTTAAGCTTAGTGGCTTGCTCTTTCCAATACGTCCTTATTGCCTTTCTCCGGAGTCGGGTGGCTTCGTTTCAGGCTATCCGCCTAGCTTCCCAGTTCTCACTGGTTTGTTCCTTGAGATACTTTCTTTCCGCCCTCCTCTTAGCTCTTATAGCACTTTTCCATTCTTTAGTCATGTATGGAAGAACATCCTGAACCCTAACCCGCATCTTCTTCTTTAGCATATGTGTATTGACAATACTGGACAGAGGCATTTCCATAAAATTTGCCTTGTCGTTACATGAATTGAAACTTTCACTAACATGCCATGGAGCATACATTAGATCTTCTTTGTATTTCTACACATCATCTCCTTTAGAGATTTAAATGTTACAATCTTGCCTTTCTGTGTTTTACCGTCTCATTCAGGAATCCATAAACAAGTACGTGGTCTCTGAGCGCAGGATCATGTACCCCATAATTCTCAAATAGTTCCGGGTGATTAGTGAGAATAACATTGATCAAGCTCTTAGTGACAAGAGAGCCTCTCATTTGTATTCGAGTGGGTTCGGTTATCATACATTCAAGGCCCTGTTCCACCTCAAGATCAAGAAGAAGCTTTCCTTCAGGGCTGCTGGGTTCCATCCTGTTCAGGTTTAGGTCGCCTGTTATTATAACCGTTGGACATTGAAGGCTAGCCCAGTTGGCAATATGACTTAATTCCTCCTCAAGTAGAAGTCTGTATTTACCAGTAAGCTTCTTAGGCGGTCTGTAGATAACCAGTATAATCGCATTTCTCGATTTGAGGTCAATCTCCAAGGCCAAAGGCTCAATAGTTTTATAACACATGTCTCTTGGAGAGTATCTTAGATGAGACAAACAAGAGAACAGCACCTCCACACTTTTTTCGTTCATTTCGGTGCAAGTAGTTCCCTGGTATTAGGAACTGGGAGTCTGGGTATGAACGATCAATTTTAGTCTCACTGACAGCCATAATTTGCACCTTATTATTGATAATAATATCCTTGCGCTCATCAAATTTGTTCTGAATGATGTTTATATTTAGGTGGCATAATACACCTTTTGCTGTTCATTACGAGAAAATACGCAATCATTTGCGTAAAATTGCCCGAACAGACATTCATTAGCGCGAAAATACCAACATTTGCGCATAAATCAGATTCAAAAGCGATTTTTGCATTTTAAACAACATTCAATAACACTTTTGGGCATTCATATATATGCGTCATTCGGCATACAAAAGAGAAAAATATACTTTTATTTGCGCTAGTATGCAAGTCATTAACACCATCTTGAAAGTCAATAGGGACAACAGACAAACATTAAAGTGCAACATTTCTGTCACACTGTTTGCAATTCAATAGAATTCTTGGACGGCCTTGGCACAAAAAATTACGCCTTCTTTAAATTCAATAAACAAAAATCGATCCCACTGGAAAAGTGTTATTGAATGTTGTTTACAATGCAAAAATCACTATTGAATCTGATTTATGCGCAAATGTTGGTGTTTTCGCCCTAATGAATGTCTGTTCGGGCAATTGATCGCCGTTTCATGCATATGATTGCGTATTTTCTCGTAACGAACAGGAAAAGGTGTAACATGCCCCTGGCATTTTTCTGCCTTGCCGCATTTAGTAGGTCGGGACCAGTAACCGTTAGGTGTAGTTCCATTTTCTTCCTGATCAGTCAGTGTGATATTATCTGTGTCAAGATCAGTATCCGAAAAACAGGCCTCGCTGAGCATTTGTTACTCGACTTCGGCTGGCAACTAGCGGTGACATCAATCCTAACCCTGGTCCTTCTATTACATCGTTTAAAACAAATCGCTTTCGGCAGCGCCATGAAATGCAACGACGTCGTAACCCTTGTAACCTCGTGCAAATCAAGTGTGAATCTGATCTTCATCTTAGAACATCGACAACTAATCTGACTATGTCAGGATTGGAAGGCAAGAGTGGAATTACCGACAGGGTTTGGCCTATCAATACTGTGGAAAGTCGAAGAACTTTTCCTTCTAAAGTTAAAAATTTGCATACTGCTGTTAACATGAATAATCTCGTGCAGATTTGCATTACTTCGAACAGGAAACCTGTTATCTCCAACAAATCTACTTTATCGGCTCCGAAGCTTTGTTTGTTTGGCCTCCTGAATTGTCGATCAGTCTGCAATAAGTATCTCTCTATCAAGGACTATGTTTGGACAAGGATTTTGATATTTTTGCTATTACCGAGACCTTGCTCAACACTGGGGATTATGATAATTTCGTAATCGGAAGTCTTATCCCAAATGGCTATCGCTTTTTACACTCTGCTCGTGATATAGTCGTGATGGAAGAGGTGGTGGCGTCGGATTGCTTTTCAAAAGTTCGTTGCTAGTTAAGCAGACATCAAAGGTCTATCTGGACACCTTCATTTCCTTTGAAGCCATCGAAAGTGAAGTTAAGGTTTTTTCGCAATCTGTTTCCATCCTTACTGTGTATCGTCCTCCACCGTCATCTGGAAACAATCTTTCTACTGAGCTTTTTATGAATGAATTTTCGTCGCTTTTAGAATCCGATATCACTAAAACTGGTTCACTTGTAATCGCTGGTGATTTTAATTTTCATATTGATGATACAGCTGATACTGCGGCGGCTAATTTCCTGAGCTTATTGGAGTCATTTGATTTACAGCACTGACATGTTCGTAGATGCACCCACAGAGCTGGACATACTTTGGATCTGGTCATCACTCGTGATGCTGAATACATTTTAAATGCTATTTCAGTTGATAAGGAAGCATATTTGTGGTCGGAAATTAAAAGCCATCAACTTGGAGCATTTTCGACAAGATGTTGCAATGTCTCCTCTTTTGTCTGATTCATCCAATGATTTACTTACGCTGCTTCACTTGTATAATTCGGAGTTATCTAGTGTTTTGGATAAGCATGCGCCATTGAAATCGCGCATGGTTACCATACGTCCCGCTGCTCCATGGTTTAGTGAGGAGATTAAACTGGAGAGAAGAGTTCGTCGTCGACTGGAAAGGAGATGGCGTAGGACTAGATTGCCTGAAGATCGTCTGCGTTTTATTGAACAAAATCGTATTGTCAATGAGCTATTATTCTCTGTCCTCTCACATTGTTACACCAAGCTTATTGATAATAATTGCCTTAATCAGAGGAAACTGTTTGGCATTGTAGGTTAGTTTGTTACATCGGAGTCCTGCACCGCGGTATCCAATTTGCTCTTCCGTGGCGGATCTTGCAAATAGATTCATTCGCTTTTTTGGTGAGAAGATTATTACTATTCGACTTGAACTGGATCGATCCCTATGCGGGGAACTTATTTATTTAGTGAAGTCACAGTTGCAACAACTAGACTCCATCGTTTGAGCTGTCCTTCCTATTCGACCTTACTTCAGATTGTGCACCCTTTGGCATCAAAGTCTTGTGAACTTGACCCTGTCCTCCTAGAATACTCCTTGGTTGTCTTGATCTCCTTTGCCCAATGATCTGGAAAATTGTTAATCTGTCTTTGGAGACCTCTATCATGCCCACTGAACTTAAACAAGCTGTAATTCGTCCTTTGTTGAAAAAGCCGAGTCTTGATTATCAAGAATTTAAGAATTTTTGGCCGATCTCTAACTTCACCTTCTTGTCCAAAGTCATTGAGAAAGTAGTGGCTTTGCAGCTTGTTGACTACATTGACAACAATGGTCTGTGTGAAGTCTTTCAATCTGCATACCGTGCTCACCATAGCACCGAAACAGCTCTTCTCAGAGTCTACAATGACATTGCTCTGTCCATTGACAATCAAAAATCTGTTGTTTTGGTTCTACTCGGCCTGTCTGCTGCTTTGGATACAGTTGATCATTCTCTTCTCCTTGCTAGACTATCTACCCGTTTTGGCATTTGTGACCAGGCACTGGACTGGTTTCGTTCATATCTATCTGATCGCACTCAGTATGTCAGAATCCAAGATGTCTCTTCTGATGGGCATGCCTTACCTTATGGAAAAGACAAGACAAGACAATGTTTTATTTGGAGTCTTATACAGTCCTATGTATATCGACTTTATCCAAATAATTTAAAATTATAACACAAATTGCACACTACTGGAACTATAATCAATGTTAACCTAAACAACTAATGATCTTCTTTTCTCATAGCAGTCGAATACGTATTTTACAATTAACTTTTGCACTGGTTTGTTCTTGCTCGGAGGGTTTGTTAACAACAGAAAATATCATCTGGTGCCATTCTGTTTACTGATATTCTGTATTCTTTGTTTAAGTATTCAAATAAAGTACTTCTTTTTTCTTGATACGCAGGGCACAGAGTTAAAAAGTGTATTTCACCTTCTACGTCTTTTTTACAGATAGGACAGATCCTCTCTTCCGGTTTCTTATAAGGTCTTGCATACCGAACTGTCTCTATCGCCAATTTGTGATTGCTTAGACGGAGTTTAGTTAGAGTTATCCGGTGTTGGACGTTGGTGACCTGACGGAGATAATCTTCACGTTTATAATTTTCTATTGTTTTAAATTTTCGGAAGGTTCTTAGTTTGTTCTTTTGGTTGGTGTCTTTTCTTACGTCATTGTTTACGTCACTTAACTATCTTTGTAATTCGATGTCTTTCAGTCTTTGTTTGATAATGTTCAAGATTCCTATGTCATTTTCATGTGCTTTTGTCCAGAGGTATCCCAGCCCTATTTGGTCTAATACGCGTTTGATTCTTTGGCTCCATAATTCCTTATTCATTCTCGACTTCATATCATTATAAACTACCTGTGATAATTTGTGTTTGGGGTGTTTGGTTAAAGTTAGCCAAAACTTAAAATTCCTATATTGTGCTTCGATTTTCATTGGGAATCTTCCTGTTTCAGCCCTACATGCATTGTTGCTACAGTATTTATTTACACCTAGCAACCATTTCAAGAATTTAATTTGAACTAGTTCTGCGGGATCTTTTTCTATTTGGTCGTTACAGTCAACACCCCAAATTTCACTTCCGTAGAGAAGTATAGGGGATATCAGAGCATCGAATAGCTTAATCGTCAGCATAATGTTTTCTCTAAAGTTGTCATCCATCTCTTTTCTTAGTTTATAAAGTGCCTTAAACCCAACTATGGATGCTTCAGGGTTTCGTTGGGTGGGCCCCTTGAGAGCATGTATTCTTTGTACACTTCCCCCTTAGGTGATATTGCAAGATCTCATGGCCTATCTTATCACTTTTATGCTGATGATACACAGCTATATTTACCTTTTGAAACGTCATCGCCTGAGGATTTGTCAACATGTAAATCTGCTCTTGAAGATTGTGTTAAAGATATTGACCTTTGGATGTTAAATAACAAGCTGAAGCTGAAGTGGGAAGACTGAAATTATAGTTTTTACATCCTCCTATCGCCCACGTCCTGCGTTAAAAAACCTGGTGATTGCCTCTGACACTGTTGACTGTTCAACTACTGCTAAAAATATTAGGGTTATTTTTAATCACTCTCTATCGATGTTGCCGCACGTTACCGCTGTTTGCAAGTCTTAGTTTTTTCATTTGCGTAATATTTTTAAGATTCGCAAGTTTCTTTCTTATGATACATGTAAAACTCTAATTCATGCCTTTGTTACTGCAAGGATCGACTATTGTAACTCATTGCTCTACGGTCAGCCTAAATGTATCTTGAAACGTTTACAGAGTGTCCTAAATAGTGCTGCTAGGCGTATTCACCTTACTAGTAGATTTGAACATGTTACGCCGTTACTTATTCAACTTCATTGGCTACCAATTAAACAAAGGATAACTTTCAAAATTGCAGTAATTACATTTAAGGCACTTCATGGTGCTGCACCTAGCTATATCACTGATCTCATCAAGTCTTATACACCTGGTAGACTTCTTAGATCCTCTAATCAATTTTTACTTTCTACATCTAAATTTAATCTTAAATTATAAAACTTATGGTGGCCGGTCTTTTACTATTGCTGCACCTTCTGTTTGGAATGCACTTGCATTTGAACTTAGATCTTGTAATTCCCTTTCTTCTTTAAATCTTGGCTTTTTAAAATTTGTTATGATGTTGTAGTATAGAATGATGATGTTTTTATAGGATGACAATGTAGTTTTGCAGTTTTGTAGGTTTAGGATTTTGTTGTTATTTTTATTATGTAAAGCGCTTTGGACCATTGGGAATTTTAAAAGGATGACAATGTAGTTTTGTAGTTTTGTAGGTTTAGGATTTTGTTGTTATTTTTATTATGTAAAGCGCTTTTGGACCATTGGGAATTAGCGCTCTATAAATATTGTATATTATTATTATTATTGTTATTATTTCAGCATCCGAACACTTGCAGAATGGCAGAGCCGCCCATGTGCATCTATTGCATATAGCCAGTTGTTCACCATTGATTTCTGGTACACACACTTTAACTGAAAACATGCATTCCATACAATTGGCACATGAAATGTTCTTTGGTTCCACCCAATTCTTTTCTGATAGTGATCGCACTTTGTCGCTGTTGGTTTCGACTTGGATAATTTGTTATTGGTGCTTGCCGCCTTTCTCTGGCTAGGTCCGGGATTTTTTTCCACATCACCGCTTAACAAGAGCGCTTGTGTAGCCATAGAATTACTGTAATAGGCAATGCGTGTTTTGGAATATCGTAGCTTACGCCATTTTGTGAATAGACCAGAATCTACTGTTCCATGCCAGGCGCGAAATAGAACAAAGGAGATGTTTTGATGGTTACGCTTCATCACCTAGAAATTCCACGCACTCTTGAATAAAGACCCATTGACTGCAGGCGTTAATTCCAAGAGCTCTTCATTGCGGAGTACTCTTGGGACGACCTTCCACGCTCGTGTGCAAATACAGAACTCCATTTGGAAATCTTTCCAATCTTGGGCTTGAAACGTCGAAACGTACCTTTTATAACCATTTAAATCAATTTTGGTGACTGCCAATTGAGAGATATTGCCTTTAGCAAACTGCTCGTTGAGTTCGAACACATTAGGACAGCAAATTGCGGAGTATAAAAGACAAATTAAGGAGAGCAAAAATCCGTGTCTGACCAACATTGTTATGCATAAAGGTCATCCCATCAAGAGCTGAGGATGTCCCAGCAAGGATAGTTTCCCCAGTAACAGCCAAGGCGCAAGTAACAAGTGAGATCCAATCAACATCTGTGCAGGTCTCAGGAACCGCAGTTTTAGCAGTAACACCAGAGGCGCAAACATCACTTGTAATCCTCAGCAAAAATGAAGGTAAATATAAACAGTGGCGTTTGTTCTATCAGTTAGTAAACCAGCTTTCTAAAGTAAGTCGTTGGTAGTAGTCTGTAGAATACGTAATACATGTCGTAGAGTGGTAGCCAAAAGTTGCCAGCACCGTACAGACAACTTATTGACGAGATCAAGCAAAACTAATTACGACAGAACGACTGGAGAACTGACAATTTGACTAACAATAGACGACTGTTTAAAGGTGACAATAGACGGATCGAAAGGCACCAATTACTGAGTACGAGCCTTCATAGACAGTAACATCACGGATTAACTGACAGACGACTAATAACATCGCGACGTAATTGACCAATCAGATCAATAACCAGAGTATAATACCATCAACTGACGTGATCCAACTAACTTTGACTGTGAAGATGACTACCACACAGGTTGACGAAACGTCAGTCGCTGTCAACAACAACAGTCCTACTTGTCCTATTCACGACTTCCTTCACCCGGACGATCAAACTCAACCTACTTTTGAGTTGTACAGTTCTAGAGAGTTTCCAAAATTAGATATTTGACATGTTTCAACGATGAAGTGCTTTACTCTGATTAAACATCAACTTTGTATAGACGCTAAATGGCCATATGCTTATACTTTAAACTCGAGACGGTGTGTCGTCTCAAGCTACCGATACGGCTGGAACGACTGTGTTTTGAATTTAATCGACTTCCCCAGACATAGACACTTCATGTAAAACCAGGTAAATCGTTTCGTTTTTATTGTAATGGTATCTGCCATCCCTAAACCGTTAATGGGGTTCCATTTGGTTTCCGTAAAATTCAGAAAGTAAGCCCCTCCATGTATAAGCCCCCTCAACTCGTAACGCAAAAAACCGTCCGTTAAATCGCCCCTCTAAATATAAGCCCCTCCTGGGGCTTGTACTAGGAAACTGCCCTCAATTACAAAGCAAAACAAAGCAAAGACGGTAAATTTCCTTCCAACTATAAGGCTAGCCCAGTCAATTTTGAAACGCAAATTTCCCTCCATAGATAAGCCCCTCAAAAAGGGTCTTTAAAAAATATAAGCCCCGGGGCTTATTTTCGGAATTTTACAGTATTTCATTATAACAACTTAATCAATAATTGGCTCTTTAGCTAACTCAAGTTTTAACCATGTTTTCTTTCTTTTAAGACAATGGTTCAAAGCGTCAGGAAAAGGAAATCGTGACTGAAGTCTACGTAAACTAGTAGATACGGTACACCACGATAAAAACATAGTAAATTAATGTAAAGAATTAAATAAATATTAATTTGCTTCATTAGTCATTATGCCTCTTGTTTGATTTGTATATTTTGGTCAATGATCCATAAGACCGAAACAAAATAAATTACTGTCGAAGCTATACCAACGGCCATCTTGAATTATATCCTTTGAAAAATAAAGTTCACGAATTATTTCTCCAAGATTTTTAAAGATTTATGTACTGAAAATAGGGTAAAATTGCCGAGGAAAATATAAAGGCAAAGGAAAAACAGAAATTTCAGTATTTTAAATTCAAGCGCGCCTAGCCAAAATATTAAAATTTGAACATCGTGTCGCCGTCTTTTCGAAAGCTCTTTGCCTTTTACGCCAACAGAAATAACCTTCGACATCTCCTTTAATCTCGCAAAAAGTTAGATGTGATTGTGCTGACTGTTTTATTTTTAGTAGGTAAAAGCTAAAGCTATTCTTTATGTCAGCGAGTGACTAAAAAAAACAAGCAACGGAAGTAATTTTGTTTGGCTGATTCAGCAAATGTCAATCAATCAAAAAAGTGGGCGCAGACGTTTCGTATAAGGTTTGTATCAGGCTGTCTTTTCGTTTCGCCTTGCTCGCCAGAATGCTTTTTACAAAGCGAAACGAAAACTGAGCCTGATCTCAGGTTACATAATTTCCATAAGAAAAGGAAAGAGGTTTTTATCATAACAAGGTGAACCTCAGCAAGTCCTTGCTTGCCCTCCGAAAGTGATATTAGGATTATTGTCCGCAAATTAAAAAAAAGAGGCATGACGCGATTCCAAAGGGGAAAAAATATCCGTTGAGTAATAGGTAAGGGTGAAGTCAGGACTCATGTTGATATTATAATTATAGTACTTTTTATATCTTAAATCTTCATTCTGTAAAAATATGTTATGATTATGAATATTGTTTTATTTTTAGTAGGTAAAAGCTAAAGCTATTCTTTATGTCAGCGAGTGACTAAAAAAACAAGCAACGTAAGTAATTTTGGTTGGCTGATTCAGCAAATGTCAATCAATCAAAAAAGTGGGCGCAGACGTTTCGTATAAGGTTTGTATCAGGCTGTCTTTTCGTTTCGCCTTGCTCGCCAGAATGCTTTTTACAAAGCGAAACGAAAACTGAGCCTGATCGCAGGTTACATAATTTCCATAAGAAAAGGAAAGAGGTTTGTATCAAACTAAGGTCGTTACCTGAGCAAGTCCTTGCTTGCCCTCCGCAAGTGATATAAGGATTCTCGTCCGCAAATTAAAAAAAAAAAGGCATGACGCGATTCAAAAGGGGAAAAAATATCCGTTGAGTAATAGGTAAGGGTGAAGTCAGAACCCATGTTGAAATTATAATTATAGTAGTTTTTATATCGTATTGTTTATTCTGTTAAAAATATGTTATTATTATTATTATTATTATTATTATTGAGTCACTATTTGGAGAAAAACATATGATGGATAAAAAAGCTATAAAACTATTGGACTTTTTTTAAAGCAAGCAATTGAAATGTTACAACGAGTAATTAGTACTACTGAATTTTTGAAGATTGAGTTTGATGTAAAATGGCTACTTCTCGAAGATTGCATTCTACCACGTTCTTGGTAATTTTCGTGGTATGGTCGAGCGTATTGGAAAGTTGGGGACAGCACTGTGGGAAAACAGCATATGGAAGTAAGAGAACTGATTAATTGATAAGCTTGCTGTAAGCGAGCGAGATTCTAAAAATGCACGCTTTTCTTTTTTTCTGTATTTTTTTCGTGTGACCGACGCAAATGGTAGGCTATATACTCCGAGACATTTCTAGCGGAGACTGTGGAGGCTGGGGATAAGAATCGTCACGTCTTTCATTGTATGCAACTGAGCCTAGTGATGAACATGTGGTTTATTTTCGGCGATGACTGAAATCTAAGCATTGAGTTGACCACGTTTGCGTTTGTGTTCGCTGTTTGGCAAAGATGTAATAATGTAACTTTCTCCATTTTCACGTTGTAGTCGTGCAACGACGGCAAGAAATCGTGATGCACGTTAAAAGTTGCTGTTTAAGTTCTCTATTGGTGCAATTACTGGATATCTACGGTTAGGTAGATTCACTTTGTTGTATGTATATACGCTGTGGCTATATACTCGGCAGCCGAGAAGGGTCATATAAAAATCTGAATACCCAGCAGTCAGAGAATTTTTTGGAATTTTTGCAAAATCCTTTTTACTAATTGTTTGAGAATAGTATTCTATCTTCATTTAGAATAACTAAGCGATCAGGTAAACAAAACTGGCTTCGCAGCTGAGCGTTTGTGATTCGTTGGGTATAGAGCGGAGTCTAAAAGCGGAGCTGGAAAGTTAAAAAGTTTCCTCTTCAGCAACAGAATACATGCATACTAGCTTCGATCAGTTTCCCAAAAAAAAAACGGAGAGAGAGTGCTTTGATTTTGAAACTAAATATTTCGCAACCTCCACCAGCGCCTTCAGTTAGACTCTCGACACAGCTTGATATACTGGTGGTGCTGCTGAATCTTGGGAAAAGTTTCCTCTAATTATGGGAAATTTACGCGAATTCTCATCAAAATATTCTATCCTGGTTTAGAATTGGTGGGTGACGAGAAACATCCCCCCTTTGAGTGTTACTTCACTGAAGTGATCCCCCTAATAACATTTGATGACTTTCCCGATCCCCCGACCCAATGTCTTCATTTTCCAAGCAAATTTGAGCGGTTTCTCCTCTGCCTTGATCCTTCCAAAATTTTCAGTGATCTCCCCTTTTGGGTTCTCGGTTACGACTGATCCCCCCTTTTGTTATCCTAAAAATCAAGTGATTCCCCCCCATAATCTCCCCCCCCCCAGGCGATAAATAATGACCGGTCCCTAGGAACCAATGAGATTATATTTTGGCATCTAAACATGGCATTGCTAAAAAGGGCAGATTCTTGGATAGCGGTTACACTGAAGGTGATTCATCTACGATCTCACTGGCAATAGCCTTCTGCTATCGACGATCTCCTCATTCACGTCAGCTCAACTTCAGACTGCTTTTTTTTTTCTCTTTTTTCTTTTCGGCATTATATATACGACTTCTTGCCATGAAGATCGTTGGTTCACCGCTCGCGTGTATGTGTAACGCTTCCCACACCATTAACTCGGAAAAGAAAACTAAATATAACACTCCCGTAGTCTATTATCTAATCAAAGTTCCTGTAGCTACAATTGTAGACAAAGTATTGGAAAAGTTCCAAACCACTTCTTCACCCGAATCGGCACTGACTTAAGGATGGTAAAATTTCACCTTTTGCCGTTCGCACCGCTTCCTTGATTCATCCTATTGTTGATTTGTTGGCTTGATCTTGCGGTGTGGGGGTGGCTGGAGACGACATAAAAAAATAATTCAAGAAATTGTATTATTATTGATAAGAATTGTCCTATTAAATACCTTTTTCTTTTAACTATATGTAAGACGCCCCACAAGTGGACTTCTTTGCCACTGTTCATGGTGACAGTTCGCTTTCAGAAAATCCACAACGTTTTTACAACGATATTCTGGTGCAAAAGGGCTCCAATGTTACCCTGACATGTACTGCAAAGGGGCCGAAAGAGCCATCTGTGTGGGCAAGCTCCCACTACTACTATCCGTATGAAATGAACTGGTTTGTCAACTCAAATTATCAGGAGATGCCTATCTGCACTTACGAAAAACCCAGCCCGAGTAAAACCTGTATTCTGAATTTGGGTAAAGTACAGCCAGATGACAGTGGGAGTTATTTTTGCCAGGCAGTTAACCGAGGGGGATGTACTTATAAGGAACTGAATCTTATTGTCACTGGTGGTTACAGCACTACCACTGGCTCAAGTAAGTAACGAAATTCAGAGCCAAATCTTTCAATCCTTCTTTATTTCACACTATATAAGGCATTTACACAAGTGTACGTAGGTAGGAGAACGATGTAGCTGTAAATATATTGGAACTGACAATAATTTGTATGCAAGTTAAGCGATGTCACTTCCCTGGTTTCACCGCAAAAAACGCTGGTGGCCCTGTGGTTTTCAATGAACAAAAACAAAAACAGAAAAAGAACCACAGAGACTACAGAGACCTCAATATCGTACTAGGATGGCCATGTGAATGTCACTTGAATAGGTTATTTAAATAGTGGAAGGGTTTGATGTCCAAATTTTCACTACTCAGGTGTGACTAATGTATACGCGCAAATAAAGTGAAACAAACACATAGCATGAGTCGATAAAAAAAACAAAACAAAAAAACAATGCTGTCGTCTAATTGCACTGTATATGTAGCCCCCATACATGTTCTTAAGATTCAAATTATCATCAGGGGTTATAACCTGTTACACATAGTTCCAAAAGTTACAGTGGAATAAAAGAATTAAACGGGACGTTACATGATGGACTTAGTAGCCGTTACATAGGGGTTATTAGCTGTACTGACGTATTGTAAATTAATATTTAGTGTAATTCGCTGTTCCTAAATCACCTCATCTATGGTTTACAGCGACAGATGTGAGTTTTCCTGTGGCCACTAAGGAAAGTTTTTGTGGTTTGTGACAACCCTATGACATATTTTTTTTCTCTCCATCATTTGGTTTAGAACAAACCTCCAAAACACCACATTACGAAACAACCCTGGTGCCAGCAACATCTGAGGCCCCAGCAACACATGTGGTCTCACCAACTTCTGTGCACGACCATACAACAACGGTTTCCTCAGTAACACCCATAGTGCAAGCAACACGTGTTTTCCCATCAACACCTGAGGATGTCCAAGCAAGAATAGTTTCCCCAGTAACACCCGAGGCACAAGCAACAAGTGAGATTCAATCAACATCTGTGCAGGTCTCAGCAACATCAGTTTCATCAGTAACACCAGAGGTGCAAACATCAGCTGTAATCCTCTGCAAAAATAAAGGTAAATATAAACAGTGGCGTTTGTTCTATAGATTAGTAAACCAGCTTTCTAAGGAAAGTCGTTGATAGTAGTCTGTAGAATACGAAATACCTGCCGTAGAGTCGTAGCCAAAAGTTACCAGCACCGTACAAACGACTTATTGACGAGATCAAGCAAAATCACGAGAGAACGACTGGAGAACTGACAAGTTGACTAACAATATGCGACTGTTTAAATGTGACAATAGACAGATCGAAACGCACCAATTACTGATTACGAGTTTTCATAGACAATAACATCACGGCGTAACTGACAGACAACCAATAACATCGCGACGTAATTGACCAATCAGATCAATAACCAGAGTATAATACTATCAACTGACGTGCTCCAACTCACTTTGACTCTGAAGATGACTACCGCAAAGTCAATGTCAACAACAGCAGTCCTACTGGTCCTATTCAGGACTACGTTCACCCGGAGGATCAAACTCAACCTACTTTTGAGTCGTTAGTATGTTTATTCATAGATTAACAGTTCTTGCGAGTTTCCAAAATTAGATATTTGACATGTTTTAACCATGAAGTGCTTTACTCTGATTAAACATCCACTTTGAATAGACGCTAAATGACCATATGCTTATACTTTAAACTCGAGACGGTATGTCGGCTCAAGCTTCCGATACGGCTGAAACGACTGTGTTTTGAATTTAATCGACTTCCCCTTTACTCAAGCCCCTTCCAAAATGTTCAACCATGGATAGCACGGACACTCCATGTAAAATCAGGTAAATCGTTTCGTTTTTGTTGTGATGGTATCTGCCATCTCTAAACTGTTAATGGGGTTCCATTTGGTTGCCGTAAAATTCAGAAAATAAGCCCTCCAAATATAAGCCCCCAAACTCGTAACGCAAAAACCCTCTGTTAAATCGCCCCTCTAAATAGAAGCCCCCCCTCGCCCAGGGGCTTGTACTTGAAAATTGCCCTCAAATACAAAGTAAAACAAAGCAAAAACGGTAAATTTCCTTCCAACTATAAGGTAAGCCCAATCAATTTTAAAACGCAAATTTCCCTCCACAGATAAGCCCCTCCGAATACATGTGTATAAGCCCCTCCAAAAATAAGCCCCTCAAAAAAGGTCTTTGAAAAATATAAGTCCCGGGGCTTATTTTGGGAATTTTACGATATGTCATTATAACAACTTAATCAACAATTGGCTCTTTAGCTAACTTAAGTTTTACCCAGTATATTTTCTTTTCTTTTAAGACAATGGTTCAAAGCATCAAGAAAAGGAGATCGTGACTGGAGTCAAAGCAAACTAGTAGATACGGTACACCACGAAGAAAACATAATAAATTAATGCAAAGAATTAAATAAATATTAATTTGCCTCAAGAGCCATTATGGCTCTTGTTTGATTTGTATATTTTGGTCGATGATCGATAAGACCGAAACAAAACTAATAAATTACTGTCGAACCTATACCAATTAACGACCATCTTTCAACAACGGCCACATTGTCTGTTTACAGTCCCGTAAGATCGTCAAGATCGGGTGCTTACTCAAACGGGTGGCCATATTTGTTTCAAATGTATGCATCCCGAGGGGTTGGGCTGGTAGATTTGATACTCTTCCCCAGGTTACACTTGTTACATTTAAAACCGTCTGACCAGCGTTTACAGTAAGGGGCTGCCTTCGTAGAGGGAGGAAGATCCTAGAAGGCGAGACATCTTTTCGTTCGGTTTACATGATGATTTTTCAGTCCATGTGGTTACCAAAAAAGTGAAGGAATTAAAGATGGCGAGTGACAATAACCAACATGCAATTTAATATTTGGGCTCTTCTGCTCTCTTTCCTAGCATGTAACTACCTTTCAGCTGAATTATCACAATTTTAATTAAAGTGATCACAACGTTTTTCTGGTTTGTCCCTTATAGCTACTACTAGGATCTTCCTAGAAAAAGCAGCGAACATGGTGCGAGGGTCTTCCTCGTGCTATGCTATTTCTTCTACCTCTCAGCTAGGAAGATTCCAGCGCTAGGGACGACAAGTACAACCTTTGTCATGTAAACTGTAGAAAACGTACGGCGCTAGGATGATCCGCCTTGTTAGAACTTCCTCAGTTCGTGTTAGGATCTTTCTCCCACTATGTAAACAGCCCCTATGTGCTCGACAATGTAAGGAAAAATAGTCTGTGAGGAGTGGCAAGCTGCCCTTAAGAGCCACCTTTGTTTTTTCTGGTGAATTCATTCACCCCTGTTTAAAATTTTTTACAATTGTGACTTCCCCACTAGGTAACTCTACGTTTATTCTCTTCCCCCCATTATGGCATTTGAGGATAAGTTCGACCGAAATTCATCTTTTATATCTTTTTACTATTGTCGTAAAATAGGGTATGCATATTTAGATATTCTATAAAGTAAATATTTATATCATTTTAACCATAAATAGATGTTTTAACTGGTATAAAACAGAAAATGTCTAGATCCATGAGTTTTCTCTGTTAAGCAATAAAAACTGACAAGCAATTATTGAAATAATGGCTACTGGTCTAGAGATTAAAAAAAGAATTGAAGTTACAGGTGTCCAATAAACTTCTGTTAATAATGACTTCTACTCGTTTATTAATTGAGTTGATTTGATATAATTTTATAATATATTATATACCGTCGTAAACTCTGTTAGCTGACCGCCCAACTTGCTACAACGGACACTTTTCTAGTCACGGTGAACAAAAAAACTTGCTCTCGGTTTAGTTTGTGAAAAAAGGCTGCTTAACCTTTCTCCATTGGCTGCTGTTTTCTGCCTACGTGGCAAACACACATATACAGGGGCAAGACGAGATAAGCAGAGAATGTGGGTGGTAAAAGAACAAGTACTTTGCGCCCAGTTTTAAGAGTTGCAGTTATTTAAAGCGTCTACGAGAATATTCTTGCATAGACTTAGTTGCGACCACAAAATAATCTCTGTAAATAATAGAAAACAGCATGCCGTAAGCCAAAAGTAGAAGACACCCCATCTTCGTCTGTTCTATTTTTGTTGCGAAGAAAACGTTCAAGCTAAATTCGTTTTCGAAAATTGAAACTTGAAAAAATTGAACCCCTCCCGCGCGCGAGGACCCTTCTGGTAGATGGTCGGATTTTAGCTCAAAAATCCGGGAATATCAGGTTTAACCAGTTTGGGTTAAATGGTAAACCTAATCTTCTTGTATCGGCTCTTTTGAAGCCAATAAATGTTCATTTCGCACATTGGCGAGTTTTTTTTTTTAGATAATATGCTTCATTTATGCATTTAAGAACTCTTTTCTTTACAAACCCTAACTGTTCAATATCTCTATTAGCATTAAGATATAGCCCTAGCTATAGCCCCTCCCAGTCGAAAAATGACAAAGGAATAGCACGCCGGTTCCTTACTCAACCGTATACTACAGAAAAGGTAGGGTTTGGAGGGAGGGGCGAATTTTTCTTCGGCTGACCGTTGCGAACTGACAACCCATACGTTAATTAACATCATCAGGGATTAAGAATATTAAATGAGGTTTGAATAGCAGCTTGTTCTGCATGTTGATGTTTTCTAAGGGCCTGTTTACGAGGAGAAAGGGTTACCCTTGTGCTAGGGAATTACCCAGCAAGCGGGTTAAAGTTAGTTCTTGTTTACAAGCAAATTTCACAGGTAGGGTTACTCTATCACCCGGGTTAACTTTATGGCCTTTACTGTGACACTCCTTGTAACGTCCAAGATTTGAAATAAAACTTGAAGATCTCTATGGAAAACATGTTAAATCCACGAAAAAAGCGTGAAAATATTATCATCGTATGCAGTCAATATCTTATATCGTTCAGAAATTTTTGTAATTTAATTAATTAAATTAAATTAATTAAATTAAATTTTAGAAATTGGATAATTCCGTTTTAAGCTGGTCACGCATGACGGAGGAAAGTTGTCCCGGGTAGGCGAGTTATCCCTAGCAGAGCATTTACAATGCAGGTAGGATAACCCTGGCACTCAGGTAGGTTACCCTAACCCAAACTGCCTTGTAAACACGTCGTGTAAAGAAAGGAGAAATGTGCGAGCTATCCTAGCACCAGGGTTACCCTCCCTCCTTATAAACAGGCTCAGTGAGTAAGACGAGAAATGATGTATAGAAAATCTCTGTTTTGTCACATGTGAAAAATTGCGAAAAGCAGCATTCCCACAGTCCCTGTGTTCCCAGTGGAATTGCAAATGTATCAATTGCCTTGCTGAATTTGGCATTTTTAACAGCAAGTGGTAACATTGCGAGTACGCGCGAGCCGCTGGACGGAAGTTTGTGGTGGTATTGGATCGCAGCGAATGCAGCAAAGAAAAATGGCGCCTCTTTTAAAAATTATCGTCGTCGACCATCGTCTTAGTCATCTGTTCTATCTTTGTGGAGTGCAGATAACACAAAGTCTTTTTTGTAAAATGCGAGATTGGTCTCAAGGCTAATAAGGCGCAGATCACCTCAAATACAAAAAAAAAAAATAAGGCGCAGATCATTCACAATTTTGCGCGGTTTGTGGTCCATGAGTGATTATTGTTTCGCGTTTTGGCTTGCGCGCGGACACGTCAAGCTTTGATGGGGTTCTGTGTAACAGCTGCAAAACTCCTCTATTAAAACACTGGATAACTGGGAAAAAATCTCTTCATGTAAGTTGTGACCGAGTACAAAACGTCCGACGCTTAAGATTTGAATAAAACGCTGTGAAAAAAAAATTCTAAATGCTAGTCTGTTTATATAGTCATAATTGCAGTTCTTGCGACAACCTCCTTGCAATAATACGATTTCACGTCAGTTATGGTTCAGGAACGCCCTGTTGTTCAGAGATGTGCAACCTTAGTGCAGTGATTCTGCCAGTGATTACTTTTCAGAGATACCCTATCCTAACCACCAGTGTCCAGACCAGGTGCAGTGCCCTAATTCTGCGACTGATAAAATTTCAAAGACATCCCACCCAAGGCTATGAAATTGTATGTTTCCATTTTTGACTAGATGACCCAAACTCTAGAAATGACATCTATTAAATGTATGTGATGCCTTGACTTATTCAGGGGTGTAGGCAGAATTTTGTAAATGGAGGCTCTAGAATCCAAGATGCCCCTTATACCTCTACAATAAAGAATTAGATGAGCCAAAACAGGAGTGTGGTACAAGATGTTTCATATTACAGATGTGTTTTACTGAGGTAATCCTAACCATGAAAAATCCTTCCCTTTATTTCCCACACTTCTACATACTAGAAAATTGCAAATATGCACACAACAGTGAAAATACTTAAAATAGTCAAAGTCACATCTAAAACTGCATTTTCTCCCTGAGATATTGAAGTGGGTTTTCTGCGTCCATGCTTGCACTCATTTTTGCTTTTCATAAATTTTGTTGTTGGTATGTTCTACTGCACATGTGTTAATTATTTAATATATAGCTAATAAGGCTTAGCCCCCTTGACTAGCCCGTATCTATTTGGGGCCAAGTTCTTATGATTTGAAGATTAAAAATTAAAAATGAGAGAAAATTAGCTCTAACTTTTCCTTTTCATTTAATTTCAACATGAGGAGAACTTAAGGATCTTAAAGCCTGATATTTATGAAGTCTAAGTTTATGGTAGCTTCAAGTGAGCCAATGTATGACTCAATAAAATTAAAGCTTGTCTGTGTGTCTTCTGGGGCACCAAGGCTATTTGATGCAGTTCAGTATGGAGTGACAGACTCTTCATAATCTGCAGACAACGTTGGGTTAATGAAAAACAGATAGTCGCCATTTTGTACCAGCTCTGCTATGGCTTGACTGAAAAGTGCAACTGGTTTGATTGTGACGATGCACTTGTCCTCAATGACTATCATCAGAATCAACAAGGTTTTGTGCTGAGCATCTCATAAGGAGCTCCTGCAACAGGCAAAAGGCAAATGAAATTTTCCATAACTTGTCATCTTGCAACACCAGGAGCATCAATTGCAACTTGTGCAGCCTATGATAGATGACTATATACACTACTACTGTGTATACACAGCCAAACTGACATTGGCAAGCCAAGTGCTCCTTATTCATGTGCACAAACACTGAATATATGAGACCCAGAGTATCAAAAGAATTATTTCTATCGGAGAGTGAAAAGTTACCCCTATGGCATTTTGTTGTTGCCCACAACTAGCGATACCCCTTTAGATATTCAGGATTTCTAAACTGTGATGGATATACGAATTTATATTCAAGAAGGAAATAAATCTTTTGGATAGAAAAGGAATAATGATTTTTGTAAGCGTACAAATACATTGTATGTGATGGAGCTAATTCTTATGTGGCCAATGCAAGGAATCAAATTCAGGGATTTCATGTCCAGTGTAGTCTGTGCTTCAAACAGGAATGGCAGTCCAGCAAGTGCAAAGCTGGACAAGGGAAAGAATTGTTTTGAGCTTGAACTTGTGCTAGTGTCAAAGAGGGAGTAATATCGTAATGGTCACATGAAAATGCATTAAATCACACTTATCATATTTTACAGGAGGGCAGGGAAAAGAATGCACATATGTGTATTTTCATATTTCACTGGACGAAAAAACGGATTTACTAATGTTTGCGAAAGGTGCAAATATGTGGTAAATTTGGAGCTCCAAATTTGCATTACATTTGCGCTGTCGGCTAAAGTGTGGGCAAATACATATATTTGCTAGATACGTATTGATACGCAAAAGTGAAGTAAATGTAATGGTTTGATACAAATTTGATACATATTTGCAGCATGGGCAAATCTTCAACATTTCTACCAGTTTACTCAAATTTGCATCCTTGGCAAAAATGACAGTTTTCACTTTACTTCAAATGCAGGCAAAAATATTGCA